TGTGTGTGTGTGCTGTGTGTGTGTGTGTGTGTGTGTGTGCTGTCTGGGTGTGTGTGTGTGCCAGGCTGTGTGTGTCAGGCTGTGTGTGTGTGTGTGTGCAGGCAGTCTGAGTGTGTGTGTGCGTGTGCAGGCTGTGTGAGTGTGTACCAGGCTGTGTGTGTGTGTGCAGGCTGTGTGTGTGTGTGTGCCAGGCTGTGTGTGTCAGGCTGTGTGTGTGTGTGTGCCAGGCTGTATGTGTGTGTGTGTGTGTGTGTGAGACTGTGTGTGTGTGTACCAGGCTCTGTGTGTGTGTGTGCCAGGCTGTGTGTGCAGGCTCTGTGTGTGTGTGTCAGACTATGTGTGTGCCCCGCTGCCAGTTGTCCTGGGCACCTCCCTGTCCCACCAGGCTCCGGTGTGAACAGAAAAACGCAAAGGCACAGCCCAGAAGTAGCTGATGGTGGTATTTTGGTGCCCAAGGTTTTTTTCTGGAATTTTGATTCTAAGTTTACAAGTGATTTCAAGACCCTCTTGGCCTTTATGAACTGTAATGTCACCCAGCCCAGCATATTTGATTTTCTGCCATTTCTGTTCTATCAAATTGCCTATGAAGTAGCATCTGCTGTATAGAGAACCAGAGCTTATTTTAACAAACGAGAACACTTCTGTAAGGTTTGTGCTGGGGGAAGAAAACAGAAATATACATATATAATTTTAATAATTAACTATTCTAAATAGAATATTTTTCTAAACAGAAATTGTTTGAGACTACCTTACTAATTCAAGTCATTGAGGTTTGCCATACTTTTACAGGAGATTATTACAACTGAAATAACATTTCAATTTTAAAAGTGTGTGAAACTTCTGCAAAACTGTACCATCATTTCTGATAAAAATACTTAGTTTGAAACTCATTTTATATGTTTGCTCAGCCATTAGCATAATTTGATATTCTAAAGTCAGTTTTTTCATTTCCAAATTTTTCTGCACTAAGGACTGCATAGTAGAACTCACAGTTTGGCCTTGCACTGAAAAAAAAACCTTTTAAGTTTTACAGGCATTCAACAACTTCTTGAAAGATAATAAATTTCTTTCTTCTATTTTATTTATATGCCTGCATTCTCATTCTGTCAGAGTATGGCTTTCTGTACATGGCGCTTTTTAAATAAAATTTTGTTTCAATTCTGGCTAATTCCTCGAACTTTCTGGTCTATTTGTGTTTTAGAACTATAGGGTGTGTAATCTAAAATGAGAGGGGTGAGGGTGAAGAAATCCCTGGAGTGAGTGGCTTCTTTTCTTGAAATGCATATCCTAAAATGCACATTCACAGCTGCTTTTTTTGCTTCTTAATAACTGCTTTTCTGCAAAATCTGGCTGTAACTCACACCAAGATTTCACAGTTTGCTGTGGAGAATCCATCCTGTGGAAAGATTTTCAATCTGCTTGGGCTGAGATTTGTGTTCAGATTCAGTGCAGGGAGTGTGGGTTGCTGTGGATGAATGCACCACACCACTGTGAGGGGCTGGGAGGAATGGAGGAGGTGGGGAAGAGAAAGGCTACAGCTGGAGGAACAGAACTGAAGGACCAACAGGAAAGAAGAAATAAAGAAAAAAGGGAAGGGACACGGGAAGTGGAGGGGCAGAGGTGGAGGAATGTGATGTGAACAAATCGGTGCTGAGGATTGATGGATCCCTGCCCACCAATGGGTGTCAGCACCTGCTCAGCCACAGCAGTGAACTTCAAGTGCCAGCCAGGGGTTTGCTTCAAAAAAAGCAGAAAAATTGTAACCACCATTTCCTACAACATTGCTGATCTGTCTCTTGTGGTCTGTACTTGCATTTATATTTCCAATAAATGTCATATATAGTAAACATGAGCACCCACTGTGTGATAACTGCAACATTGCCAATCTCCTGGCCCTGACAGCATTGGTTCAAAGGGAGGGTCAGAAACCTGTTGAGGTTCATGCTTTTGGAAGAACTAAAGAATGGTGATAAAGAGCTTGTGTGGAAGCAGTGAGTCACTATAGAATTCTTCCATTTCTTAAAGTGGGGGTTGCTCTTTCTCTTGCACAGGACCTGTTAATTTCTATTTTAAATAACCCTACAGCTTTGCTTTACATGTTGCTGTAGAACTGAATTATTCTGCAGGTAAAGCTGCATGTTACAACTAAGCTGAACTAATTGCTTACCTTAGGAGGACCATGAGCACCAGCTGTGGACAAAATACCTTACATCATCATGCTATTTTATTATGACCACATTTAAAAAGTAACAGAAGTTATTAAACACATGAAAAGAGGAAGTAATGCACAAGATTTTTAAAGCTTGAGTGTACCTGAATTGTGCTCTGCAGATCCTGGGTCCCTCCTCAGGCTATTTATGCCACATTTTGTAGAATGGACAGCTGAGACTTGGATGGCACTGCAAAATTATTTTTACTTTGAATCCAGGTGTCCAAAAGTTAAAAATTAATGTTTTCATCTGCTTCATCAACTAGCCTTGAGAATACTGTCCTGTAACAGGAAACAGCACAGAGCTGAATCTTAAGATAAAGAGTAGAGCTGATTTCAGTGAGGTGTTTGCTGGCACACTGGGCAGTGCTGTGCTCAGACAGGAGATTTACCAGGAGATGACCTGTATTGTCATCAGCATGGCATCATTTCCAGTGGCTGTGCAGCAGATTAGGGTCAGCAGCAGAGAGAACAGCAGAGCTTTACCAGCACAGCCCAGTATGGCTTACCCAGGCAGAGAAAGGAGGTAAATCCACAGCTACTCAAGGTAAGAAATGTTGTTACTGACCTCTGCATTTTGTACAAAGGTGACTGTAATTCCACGTTTCTTGACAGTGTTATTTCATAGGAAAAAGTGCAATACTTTGTTATTTTAAATTAGGACAGAAAGAACTCAGTGAAAAGATACTGGAATTTATAGCCTGTTGGATGCCGGCTTTTTAGTTTAACTTGCCTTTTTTAAAAAATATTTGTTCTCCCCTGTAAAATACACTTGAGAAACCTTTGAGATTAAAGATAGTGACAAAATTATAACGGCTTTAGATAGCAAGGGATTCTTAAGGGGTTAATTACTTTTATGTTTTATTAAAAATACAGGGCAGCAAGCAAACTTGTCACTTTATCATAAATTACACATGTTTGGAAAAAGTAATTTGTTTTGCCTTTTGATCTATAAACATTGTGCTCTTGAAAGAATTGCAACCATGTTGCAACAGCTCTTAAATTACAGAAGCATTATCTCTAAATGTTAAATATATTCAAGAACTTTTGGGGATGTCATCAATGGTATATAAGCAGCTCTTTTTAGTGTGGGAATTTTTGCATTGTGTGAAATCCCCAGGATTTTAATGTTTGCATAGTGAGACACCATTCAAGTTCAGTGGCTGTTCAGCAGACACCTGCTTCAGTTAAGAGGTGACCTGGGTGGGAGTTGCACCCATGGTGATTATGTTAAATCCATTACACACTCATCTGGCCATGGTTGTGTAAGAATATGGGCAAAGCTGGGGTGTGTTCACCTGCAGCTTCCTGTACCTGTATCTTGCACTTTCTTGCTCCATAAAATGTGCTTGTGATGACTGAAGAGCTTTTTGTGCCTTCCTGTGCCTGTCTGGAGAGGCAGCTGCAGGTTTGAGCGCTCTAAGTTTTGCGGCGCAGTCTGGAGATGAGAGAAGGCAGCTGTGGATCAGCCTCTTGATCTACTCACACTATAATTAGATGCACCTTTTTGAACTGAAATTTAAGCTGTTCTGTTCCCTTTTTAATCATGTCTGCCTTCTATCACAACTTCTCTTTACAGTATTTTTATTAAACAATTCAAACTAGCATAAATTTAAAAAAAATGTTACTATACAGGTTTTATATCCAGAGGTATAAAAGAAAAGTAACAAAATAAGACCTCTTTTTATCTGAATAACAGAATGAGTTTAGCACATTGTTAGCTTCCAAATCATGCACATGGTACACAGGAAAATAAATCTGGTTGAACAAGGACAGACATACCAGGAGAGAAAAATGTCTGCAACTGTATGTGTGATTCTCTACCGGTCCCCGGAAAGGCACAATGTTCTCAATAATTCTTTGGGCTCCTATTACTGGAGCGTTTCTGCACCAAAAGAGAAACTACTTAAAGACCAAGCACACAGTTTGAATCATTATTTTCTGAAAAAATATTTTTGGGGTAATGCTGTCTTTTTGTTTTGGTGTGATAGAGATCTTTTGTTTAAAATACTCCTGATTTAACACCCATCATGTTGGGGATTTATTTGGCTTTTCAGTGTCATCTCTTCAACCTACCTGGACCTACTTGGTCTCACTTTTTTGGCCTCCCTGGACCCCTCCAGTGTCAAGACTTTAGCCTCCTTGGAACTCTTTAAAATCCCCTTTTCAGATTCATTGGATTTATCCAGTCTGAGCTCTTCATCCTCTGTGGAATTCTCCAGTCTCACTTCTTCATCCTCTCTGGACCTTTCAAGTCTCACGTCTTCATTCTCCTCAGACTTCTCCAGTACCTCCTCTTCAATTTCCTTAGAGCTCTCCAGTCTCACCTCTTCAGATTCCTGGGAGCGCTCCAGTTTCTCCTCTTCAGTTTCACTGGACCTATCAAGTCTCACTTCATCAGGCTCTCTGGATCAGTCTGGCGACAGTTCTTCAATCTCTTTAGATCTCTCAAGTGTCACCTCTCTATCCACAGATTTCTCCAGCCCTACTTCTTCACTCTCTCTAGACCTCTCCAGTCTCACTTCTTCATCCTCCACAGATGTTTCCAGTCTTGCCTCCTCAGCTTCCTTGGACTTTTCCTGTACAATCCCTCCATCCTCACCAGGTGTCTCCGAGTACAGCTCCTCCACCTCGTCAGAATCTCTAGACCTCACCGATTTTAATTATTTCATGTTTCAGCGCTCCTCTGCATTATCTTCTTCAACTCCTGAGGATGTTTCCAATCTCATCTCTACACCTTTTCTGGATGTCTCCAATCTCAGCTTTCAAGATGCTTCTTCCCTCACTCCCTCAGTGTCTTTGGACATGTCCCTCACATCCTCAGTTCCCCCAGACTTGTCCACGCTCACATTTCTGGATGTTGCTAATCGCACCACAGCAGCTTCTCTTGATCTCTGCATCTAACCCTCCTAACTTATCCCCTTCTCTCTGCAACCCCTCTCTGTCCTTCTAAATTTCTCTCCTTTACCTGCTCTTTCTTTTTTTTCTCTCTCTGAAAATTTTAACCTGAGGAAAGTTTAGGGTTTTACAAAATATCTCCTGGCATCTAAACTGGGCATGAGAACAGATCATACAAATCTATAACGGTGCCTTGTAACAGCTGCATAAACATAAATATTTATTCTAGAATTTTTGTAGATCACATTTTCCATCACTGATTGATATCCAGTCTGCCTCAGCAGACCTCTCCCAAAGGTTTAGCTTTTTCAGTTCATGCTGAATTTTTATCTATCAAGACCAACAAATAGTAAATAGAGCTAAATGTGTAAATAATTGCATCCAGGTTCTATATCTCCATTATGAGTTTATATCTGAGTTAGTTTGACAGAATTGCAGGCAGTGGCACTTCATAGGCAGTACAGAGAGAGAAGGTGTGGTGGGAAAAGAAAATTGTGGAGCAAAAAGGAGGTGAGAAATGGGTTAGGGAGAGGAACCAGAGAAGCTGTGGGGCAGGAATACAGGAGCATGTAGCTGGAGAAAAACGCCCAGCTCAACTGGCATGATTTTTCTCTGCCAAGCCATCTATGTGGCCTGGGCTGCCCATGAGGCTTTAAATAATCTTAGTGCTAATTATTTTTATCTATCAAATCATCAGGTGTTTCCATTAAAGAAGCATTTACATGTAAAATCCCCTTTCTCAGTTGATGTAAGTACTGCAGTTACTTGTCTTGCATCAAATGTGCTGCTTAGCACAGAGGGGCTTCCCAAAATCTTTGGTGCTGTCTTGTATCTTTTTGTTATCGTTACCACTGGGGCTTCAAAACCAAATATATTTCCTTTCAATATCACTGGCATCTTTCTGTTCTAAAAGTGCAGAAACATGTTTGTCATAACAAATATTTTTTAATTAATTTATGCAAACTGGAAAGCTTTGCTCCAATATGCCATATCTGTCAAAAATTAGAATATGTTTGACACAAAAATAAAGAAGAAAACAAGTGCAAGTAAGTAGTGTTTTCTGCCTCGTTTACACTAGTTATTTCTTTAAAATTAAGTAGGAACAATTGCAATATGTCTGTTTAAGAAATTAACACAGAATTTTATAGGAGCAGAGTTGTTTAACAGTTAAAAAAATAAAAACAAAACAGATCAGTGGTCCAGATCTTATGATTGTATGCTGAAGACAGACTGACATATCTGGTGGACAGTTGCTCTTTTTGTTCTGGTGGCTCTTCCCTGAGTAAATTGTGTGGATTGTTAATTGCAATGGTTCTGGACTAAATGAGATCTCTAATAAAGCTGAAAATTATTCTGTGCTTTAAAAATGGTTTGACTTTGGATGAAAGGAAGTAAGCAAACAAAAGTGCAAGGATTTGTTAAAAAGCCAATATTTAATCTCCTTAAGTATTTTGTCATAATTATTTAAATGAACGTTAGGTTAGGACCAAATTGCTGACATATCAAACATGATTTGAATATTCTAATACTTTTTGCTTATGATATGTGGGAAATTGACTGTTTTTTCTTTGTGCTGATAGTTTCTAATTTATTATGTTGTCTTTCATGGATTTGTTTAGAGCAAATGACTGAATTTCAGGTGTTTGTATCAACGTCCAAAGGAAACCCATGGCAACACACCGTGTCTGATGGGACAGAATTGTCACAACTTAGCCACACACAGACCAGCTCCAAAATGAACAGCCTGTTTTAAAAATCACTGGCTCCACATTCTTGTAAAACGGGGGTTTTTTTAGTGTCTTATCTCGAAAAAAACCCAAAAAGTGATAGCACAGACCGGTAAGAACAGATTTAGGTGCAAAACACACCCTTTTATCCACTTGCTTGGATGCTTAGATTACAACAGGATTACTGAGGAGGGAGTTGATGGTAACTAACACAAGCGCTCTATAACTAGTCACGAGCTTCACAGAAAACTTGGCCTTTAATTTATGTTCTTTACGTAATTGACCTCTAATGTATTTTCGGCAAATTACCAGCTCTGAACCACTCGTTTCGTTTCGCACCGAGTCTCGTGGTTTTGACAGCCAGGCAGGCCCCGGCAGGCCGGAGGCGGAGGCGGGCACCTGCCATACCGGGAAGGGCACGCACCCTTCCCTCACGGATGTTGCCAGGCACAGCCGCGAGGAGCCCCGGCACACCGCAGTGCGGCCATGGCCCCACCCACTGCCCCTCACGGCCGCGGGGCCGCCCGGGCCGACGGGAAGGGGCGGGGCAAGCCCGGGGCGCGGCAGGCGGAAAGGGCGGGAGCCGCGCAGCGGAACGGAGCGCTCTGATTGGTCAATGCTGGAGGCGCGAGCCCGTGAACGGCGGCGCGCGTGAGCCGTTCCCGCTCGCTGATTGGCCGACGGGCACGTCCCTTGCGGCGCGCGCTGACCTTGCCCCGCGGAGCCGCAGCCATGGTGGCGTATTGGCGACAGGCCGGGCTCAGGTACTGCTGTGGCGACAAACCCGCGACAGGGCTGGGGCGAGGGGCTGGCGGGGCAGGGCTGACAGGGAGCGCCTGGCGGGGTCACAGCGGCGCGGGGGGAACGCGGGTTTGCGGCCGGGCCCGGGTCTCACCGCCCTGTGTCCCCCCGGCCGCAGCTACATCCGCTACTCGCAGATCTGCGCCCAGGCTGTGCGGGCCGCCATGAAGCCGCAGTACAAAGCGGAGGCGGAGAAGGCAGCGGTGGCCACGGTGAAAACGGTGAAACCCAAAAAGGACTGAAATGTAAGCGGGTGGGGTGGGCTGGGTGATTGGCTCGAGCTCTGTAGTGCAGGAGTGGCCTTAGCGAAGGTCTGTAACTGCTGAGTCCATTAATGCCCAATATCTGGAGATAATCGGCTGGATTTCCAGGCATGGGAGTGGAGGGGATTGCGGCTGCTGTGGTGCGAACGTGCGCAGGTGTCTGTGACCTGATTGCGTGTGAGGTGGGAAACAGCCTAATGTCATTAGTGAGGTGAGATGTACTGTCTGCCAAGCCCCGCACTGAACTCCTTTGGGTTTGGTCAGATTTTTTATGGGCTTCCACAGAACAGTGCGGGCTCTGTAGTGATGCTCACAGGTTTCTCTATGGTATTCACATGTTTGATACTTGCTAAGCCAGCAGATAGCCTCTCTGAACTGCTCCTTCCCCTGATCAGCAAATCCGTTGTATGGGTTTTCTGCTCTCTGTGAGACCGATGCTGCTTATAACTTTATTTGTGTCAGTCCATACATCACAAGCAGCTGAAATAGTTTCTGTTTTGGATAAAACAACTCCTATAACTGATCTGAGATTAAATATTATTACCTTTTGTTTGAAGTGTACCTTGTACACATTTTTGAATTGAATAACTTGTATTTTTAATCTCTTGTAGGAGCTGATCTGTGGTGAATAACAGCAAACTGCAAAGCTGTAGGCAAGCTCAAGACTGCAGTGTAATGTCATCACATGAACTGTAGAACTTGCCTCTGTACGTAAATTGACATTAATATATGTATACATTACATTAATAAATGTAATTTCTGAATGTGTGGAAAGTGTTGTTCCTCTTGAAACAAAGTTTCTGTTCTGCAGAGACATTTATTTTTCAGTTTTGTTAAAATAAAAGACTGCCTTTAGTACAGTCTGGACATTTAGTAGCAACACTGTTTATTTTTAAGCCAAATCTCTTTTTGAGTTTCATGCTGATATTTCAGGTACATAAATGAGTGAGAGATTTGATTGTTTTTTAAAACTTTACTGCCTACTTCATTGTAATGATTACTTTGAAAAAAATCCTGGCTAAAATCTGTATTAACAGAGAATATAGCATATAGTTCTGAAAACTGGAAGCAGGACAATTGTGCCATGGATGTGCTGCTGGGGATCTAATCTCCAAGTCTGAGACAGTGAATCAGGAATTGGGAGACCTGGTGTCATGTAAGAAATGGAGAAGGAAACAGGGGAATCTGAATTGTTTATCCTCATTAACACTGTCAAGACAGGGAGGAGATGGAGAGGGACACACGTTCCCTGGGAAGCAGGGATGGAGGGGGACACTTCTCTTGGCTGGGAAGATGCACTTCAGGCTATGTGGTTTTGGGGGAAATTTCTGCATTTTCCTGCTGCTGTGTATCCTCATAGCAGGAACGACATTGTCCCACTACACAGGACAGCTAGCTTCAGATTCCTTCACCAAGACTGAACTCAAACATGAAGCATTACTTTCTTCAGAGTACAACAAACCTTTTCATCTAAGAGTATAATTAATATCATTCAAAGTTAGTTCTTGCACAAATAAACTATGGGGGTTTGTCTATCAAATGTTTCAAGTATAAAACTTTCATAGAATGGTATATGATCTTTATTTAAAAGAATATTATAAATACATTGTTAAATAGGCAGCTGTGATGGTAAGAAATGTTTTTCACCAAAGGCAAAATACAGTTTTGTTTTAGTGACTGCCATAGAATTTATATTAATAAACTACAAACCATTCTATGTCATTTTTGTTGTACTGAATGTTAGGAAAAAAATTTACAGTAGTTAGTACCTAGAAAAAAAAAAAATACCACACCAAAACTTTTACACAGTGTCACAACTTAGTGTGCTAATGTAACTCAACCTGTAGTTAGAAATAGAAACAAATCACACTATGATAATGAATAAAGCTCTGCAATAATATAAGCCAGCAATGTGATAGAACAACTAGACTACTTATAAGAATGTGCATATTCAGTCATTTGCCCCCTGTTGTTTCTGCAGATCCACATCAGTCTGTGGAGTGATAAAAGAGTCACTGCCTTTGCAGGCCTTAGAGATGTGCACGTGTTCCTAAAACAGTAACAAGTTCACAATCAGCAGGGACTGTTTACCTGAGAATAAATAAATGTGATGAGCTGACAGCATATTTTGCTATTGCTTATGATCCTGATCTATATACACAGGCACAGTGGCTGTATAGTACATTCAGTATCTGGTGATTATATCCTAAAAGTGAATCCATTTACAGGAAAGACTGGTATGAGATAACGTGTCTTCATAGTGGATTGGTTTTGGGAGAGATTCGGTGTCAACAGTTGTTTAAGACAGTCAAACAGAGCTGCCATTAATTTCAATAGCAGTGTGTTGTAAAATCAGATATATTTGGCTGGATGCAGAGAAAAAGTTCCGAAGAAATGTGTTATTTTGGGTATGATGGCTATTGCTTTGTCTTTAGTGAATGTGAATGGGCTCGTTCAGAGAATGTTTTGATACTTTTTACTCTGCTTCCTTTTCTGGCTTGGCTTCTGCTTCCACTTCTACCTCTTCAAATTCCTCCACATCTGCAGTGGCATCCTGGTACTGCTGGTACTCAGACACAAGGTCATTGGTGTTACCTTCTGCTTCAGAAAACTCCATCTCATCCATGCCTTCCCCTGTGTACCAGTGGAGAAAGGCTTTCCTTCTGAACATGGCCGAGAACTGTTCAGACACCCTGATGAAGAGCTCCTGGATGGCCGTGTTATTGCCAATAAACGTGGCTGCCATCTTCAGCCCCCGCGGTGGGATGTCACACACGGCCACTTTCACGTTGTTAGGGATCCACTCCACAAAGTAGGAGCTGTTCTTGGTCTGGACAGACAGCAGCTGCTCATCCACTTCCCTGGTGGACATTCTGCCCCTGAAGATGCAGGCGACGGTGAGGTAGCGCCCACGGCGAGGATCGCAGGCTGCCATCATGTTCCGGGCATCGAACATCTGCTGGGTGAGCTCTGGCACCGTCAGGGCCCGGTACTGCTGGCTGCCCCGAGCTGTCAGCGGGGCAAAGCCGGGCATGAAGAAGTGCAGGCGAGGAAAGGGCACCATGTTCACCGCCAGCTTCCGTAGATCTGCATTCAGCTGGCCAGGGAAACGCAGCGAGGTAGTGACACCGCTCATCGTTAGGGACACCAAGTGGTTGAGGTCCCCATAGGTGGGATTGGTGAGCTTTAATGTCCTGAAGCATATATCATACAGAGCTTCGTTGTCAATGCAAAAGGTTTCATCTGTGTTCTCTATCAGCTGGTGGATGGAGAGGATGGCGTTGTATGGCTCCACCACTGTGTCAGATACCTTGGGTGAGGGCACAACGCTGAAGGTGTTCATGATCCTGTCAGGATATTCCTCTCTGATCTTGTTGATGAGGAGTGTCCCCATGCCCGAGCCTGTGCCACCGCCAAGGGAATGGATGAGCTGGAATCCCTGAAGGCAGTCACAGCTCTCACACTCGTTCCTGACCACGTCCATGACGTTTTCAATCAGTTCAGCACCCTCTGTGTAATGGCCCTTGGCCCAGTTGTTGCCAGCACCTGAATTACCTGTGAACAGAGTTACAGAAAGACCAGCCACAAAGTTAACAGGAGAATTTTTAAAGGACGCCCAAGGCCCTCGGGACACTTGCCTGCAGTCAGTTTGCTGGCAGCGTGCTGTACATACCATGGATAAAGTTGTCAGGTCGAAAGAGGGGGCCAATTTTGCTGGACCGGACACTGTCCATCGTCCCAGGCTCAAGGTCCACCAGGATGGAACGGGGCACGTATTTATGGGCTGGAACAAAACAAAATGAATGCAAATAATTACTGCTAGTGGTCAAAGAAACAGGCTTACAATCCACTCTGGAAAGTCCCATCCACCTAGAGTGGTTTAGGCTTTTTGTGGGTTTTTTAATTACTTATTTTACCCTCCCTGCTGGCTCTGCTGAGCACTTACAATAAGCCTCATTGAAGTACACGTTAATTCGCTCCAGCTGCAGTGGTGAATCCCCACGGTAGTTCCCAGTGATGTCGATCCCATGTTCCTCTCCAAGCACCTCCCAGAACTGCAAAAGGAAAGAGGTACAACACATTGAGAATTATTTATTTATGTTCAACACAACATGTTCAGCACCAGCTCTGGGAACTGTGCCTGAAGCAGGGGATGCTTTGCTGTTTACTTAGCAGATCAGAACAGGGATCCTTCTCTACCCCTCCCACATAAATTTGAGGGAAAAGTTTAGCAGACCGTTTATGCTGCTTAGCTGTGACCTGTGCACTAACAGATGGAGGCCCTCAATTTCTTCTCTTTACAGTAAAAGAAAATTGATGTTTAAAAGTTTAAATAACAGTTACTACTTGGTATGAGCTTAACAAAAAGTTCGTGAGGGTATGGATTAGGGAGAGTTGCTTTGAGTCCTGTAATGCGCAAGTGGGACCATGGCATGACAAAGCTGGCACAGGCAAATTTGTACATGAGCAAGGCTTTCCACAAACAGCTGCTGGTCCTAAATGTCCTATCTTGACACTCATATGGATGTGCTCTTGTGCTGGGCTCTTATCTGGGCAGCAGCCACAGCAGTGTTCATGCAGACACACCCACCCACTGTAATGACCAGGCTATTCTAGTATTAAAGGTCTCCTGGGTTAGCATCCAGTCTAACCCACCACTGCCAACTGGTGCGTGTTCCATGCTTCATGATCCATTAAAAGGAATCAATGTTAGGGGTGGGAGAAAGGGAGAACACAACAGATCAATCCCTCAATTATCCCACGTCTTAAAAAGCCTCCCAGCCCAAAATAGATGATCTTTGGACAACTTCCTACTTATCAATTAAAAAGAAAAGGAAAAAAAAGGATGGACATCACACAGCATCACAACATACTCATTACACAGTAATTGAGGGTCTTTTTTTTTTTTTTACTCCTAGCCCAGAAAGTCAGCAATAGTGACTACTCCCTGTGTTACAGCATGCCAGCGTTTGAGCTACACAAAAATACTCCAAATGATATCTGTCTCTCACAGGAGGCCAGTGACACTGTGTTATTCTACACTCTAACAAAGTTATGCCGTTGATTAAGATGATCCCATATTATCTTTAAGACCCCTTCCAACACAAACCATTGTATGATTCTGTGATATTTAAGAATAAAATGTGGCACAGCTGCTGCCACATGGCTCAACTAAAGCAACACAATCTCACAGCCCTGGAATTACTGGCTCTGTCACTTGCCCCAGTATCTTGCAGAGTATGTGAATTCCCCTGGGAACAGAAGTCCCAGCAGGAATGCTCTGGCGCACTTGTAATCACTGGACCATGGTTATTGCAAATGAACATTAAACTTTGCATCATCCAGCTCTTGCCTTTCATACCAAAATACTCATGTTCCCTGTTAACATGCCATGCTTCCCACCACTGAGTTACAAGGTAACTGTCCCCCCAGAATTGCCCATCCATTGATGATGTGTGACCTGCTACCTCTGATTTACTGCTAATGATCAGCATTGAAAAGAGACCTTACCTTGGCTCCAATTTGGTTCCCACACTGGCCAATCTGCAGGTGCACGATTTCACGCATTTTGTGTGCCTCAGACCTGTTGGTGGTGGCTACAACCTCGCCCAGGCTCTCCAGCTCCCCAGAACAAGCCCTCTGCCTGCTGCTCTATCAGCTGCACCCAGCACAGCCCGCCCCAGGGGCCCTTTTATACCCGAGGGACTGTCACTCAGCCAGCCAGGGGAGTAGCCAGCCCCAGGCTCTGCACCAGGATCCAAGGGCCTCTTTACTGCTGGGGACAGGTACAACAGCACAGGTGCACCACTGGGTGGCTTGGAAAGCAGCATTGTCACATGCACACCTTCCCAGTTCTCTGTGCAGCAGTGTGGTGCATGAATATATGTGCATATTGTGTTTGTGTTTCATTATTTTATACTAGACATAATATATATACAAATATATGTGCATATGTAGAGATTATAGCCCAAAGTGAGTGATCTTAATTTATTAAGCACATGTGCTTCTGCCACATAATTTAAATTTTAGCATCATATGACTCGTAGAGGACACACCCATAATAAAAACAGTAACAACTTGTGAGCAGGAGCCTCCTATAATCACAACATTCAGTGCATTGCAAGGCAAACTCCAGTTTACTAAACAAGCATCATTCCTGATGTTTGACTGCATGAAGGAGTGGAACAGGAGCAGTAACAAAAAATACTTTGTAACACATAAAAATAACACTACTCTCAGTGATGCAAGGTCTTTAAATAGTTAAAGAATCCATCATTTTTAGCCAAAACTTGAATTAACTTGTGACTAACTTGTACAGATGCTCTTTCCCTCTCTCTCTCTCTCCTCATTTCCTGACAGTAAGAAATACAGCATTTCTAATACTTCTTAATTTCTTATATCAGATGTACTTCAGAACTTGCCAGGAAAATGCTAGAGGTGAAAACCCTATTTCACTGAAGTTCTCTGAAGTGAACTGTAACACTCCCTGGGTGAAACATCTCACTGTGCTAAAGGAAATGATGTGAGGCAGAACAAAACACAGCACAGTCATGTTTGGCTGCTGATAACCAGGACCAGTATCACTGAGCAGCAGAAACCCAGGATGAAATGACTTCTGAAAGCTTAGAGCAGTTTCTTTACATGTCAAATGACTGTCACTGCCTTGCAAGTGTTCCTTTTAAGGATGGGAAAAGAACTATAATTAGGAAAGCACCTTAAACTATTGAGCATAAAATGGTGACAGTGAAAGGGCTTGACTCACCGAACATAACTACCACTTTATGGGTTGCTAGAGATAAGGGATTTCTGAGCTTCCATATGGTTCCAGAAGGAAAATCAGCTTATTCCAGGCTTCCCCTCCACCTGATGACTTCCACTTCTCCCACCAGCCAATGAAGGAACTGCTCCTAACACAGAGTTCAGCACCAGAAAGGCATTGTAAAAAAGTAGAGAGCGAACATCCGTCATCCTCTGCCATGCTGTGAGCATACTCAGTAGGGAGCAATAAAAGGAAGACTTTAAATTCAGGTAGATTAATTTTTTTCCTTAAAACACAATAATTTTATAATTTTCTAAAAGATAAATGTTCTCTAAGCCATTCAGTTTACCCAGGAACACACACAAAATGTTCTGTTGCATTGCCACATTGTCAATATTTCCCACAATGACTTTGAATATCTTCTACAATTCCCTAAACAAATTCTAAAAAGGTTATTTAGTAATTTACTTTAAAAGCAAATCTCAGTTTATTTATGCACATTTCATACTGGTTTTCCCCAACCATCCTTAGCTAAGAGCAGTAATGCAGATCTGAGTTGTAAATTCAACTGCTGCATTCTGAATGGGAGCTGCCTTGACACAATGTCAATAATAAATACTAAATAAATACAATTTAAAATATGCAATGTATTCACAATAGACACAGTTTAGGAAGAGGCTGAAGGTGCTAACCTACTATCTGAAAAATACAACAAAATAATTTCATCAATAAATATTTTGCTGAGCGCATCTCACAAGGAAAGGGAAAAAAGGGAAGTGAAAGAAATATGCAATCACTCAATAGGGGTTTTTCCCCGTGCTGAAAATAGCTCCCTAGAATCATGTGCCTCCTCTGAAGTGCTTCCTTATAGAGTCTTAAAAATTCTGGCACATGACACCAGGTAGCTGAGATGCTTTGTGAAGCGGATGTGGGTTTGGGCCTCTTTTCTCCCTCCACCCCACCCACATTTCTGTGACCCTCTAAGTCTGACTTTATCCCAAACCCTGCCTAGAAGGGGCTTGTTTCTGTGTAGATTTAGTTGCAGGCCTGTCCCTGCTCAGCCCCAAGAAGCCCCAGGCCTGTTAACAGCCCGAGGCACTTCCCAGCCACAGCCATGGCACATGTGCGGCTGCAGATTAGCAGAGAGGCACTGGGGAGACAGGGCCTGGGCTGCATGGGCTGGCTCAGACGGACTTTCGGCACTGGGGAGATTAGGAGCAGCCTGGCACTGGGCACAGCTACTACAGCTGTCCCACAGTGGCTATTATCAGGCTGCCCACTGCTTCCAGTGCTTCCAGAGCGGGCCCCAGATACCACAGCCCTGGTGATGGGCTTGAGCTGAGACCACAAAGACGCCAGGCTTTTGTGGTTGCTGGGCTTTTTCTTGTTTTTGCTTTCTTGGTTGATTTTGTTTTGTTTTTTTTTTAATACTACCCCCAGTAAATATGCTTGTGCAAGGAGGCTTTCTGGGTACTCTTTTTTAATGGTTTGCTTGGGAGGAACTGGCTTTTCAGAGTAGCAGAGAAGACTGTTGAGAGGAAAGCCTATTCAGTTTGAGATAAGCCTGGCGACAGGCCATCAGATAATTTTAGAGATCTCTGAATGGCTACCAGACAAGCTGATGCAAGTCTTAACTAACCTGGGCTAGCTGAATCACCCTTAAGAATGATACCAAAAAACATTGCATTCAACTCACAGGCTCCATTCTTGCTCTGCTGTTCCTTTTGGTGCATTGGTTCTCTGTGCCTCAGTTTCTCTATTCATAGTGTGGAGCTAGTAGAACTCAAGCCCTCTACACAAAGTGCTGAGACTAAGGATGAGAAGTTAGGAGGGGAGAACTGTCAAGTTTACTAAACCTGTTTATCAAACATGAAAGCTTCTAACTAACAAATGGAAAAGAGACTGGCAATCCATTCGCACAGTCACTAGAAACTTCTGCAGGAAAATTAGGAAACAATTTTTACTATTCACTAAGTCCTCTAGCAAATAATAACGAATGTTCAGATGTCTGAACCCGAAGGAGCAGCCTAGCAAATAAACACAGGCCTGTGTTCCTCTGTAAATTGTAGCATTAAAGGGCTTGAGAAATCCAGGACTTGGGACTTCGAAAAAACCACAACCAAACAAAAAAAACAGTCACAGTGGCTGGCCACAGTCTAGCACAATGCTGAGGTGTTAGGCCAAAGGTAAAGAAATCTGTAACAGGGCCTGTCCCAGGTACAAGTCCTCTTGTCACAACCCATGTGACCGAGTTACTGAGCGTTCGAACTGGAAACGTGCCTGGGGGCTGGGAAGGATCTAAGTTTGTTCCTCATCCCCAGGAGACCCATCAGACACCCACCCTGAGGCGGTCCCGGCGCAGGGCGGTCCCCGCGGGCTGTCCCGCTGTCCCCGCCCGCCGCCGGTGAGCGCGGCCCGGCCCTCCGCGCCTCCCGCCGCCCTTAAACCGCGGTGCCGGCGGTTCCCGGGGCTGCCGCTGTCCCAGCATGGCCACGCCGCTCCAGCCCCTCATCCCCCTCCTCCTGCTGCTGCTCTGCGGCTGCCTCTGCCCGCCCGTCCGCGCCGGGCTCTACTTCAGGGAAGGGCAGCACTGCTACAAACCAGCCCCGCACAAGGCGCCCGGCCTCAGGTGAGGTTCGGTCCCTTGTCCCCTCCCGGGTGGCGCTCCCGGCCGCACGGCGGAGGGAAGGGCTGGGCAGGCACGGCCGGGGTCCGGGGGTGCTCGGGGGTCCGGGGGTGTTCGGGGGTCCCGGGGCCGCTCCGGCCCTGCCGGGGCTCGGGGTGGGGGGGCGGTCACGAGACGCCGGGGCCGGAGCGGTCACGCCGCGGTCACATGACTCCGCCGGACACTCGCGGCCTCGTTACGAAACTCGGTGAAATCCGCGGTTTTCTTAACAAAAGAACCCCAAAATAACACCCGCCCGTCCTGCTCCGGGGGATGCCGGCGCTACCTCCTCGTCCCGTCCCCCCGCAGGACCTACCCCCGCCCGCACGAGTACCTGGACGTGTCGGCGCTGCCGCAGAGCTGGGACTGGAGGAACGTGAATGGGGTGAATTACGCCAGCACCACTCGGAACCAGCACATCCCCCAGTACTGCGGGTCCTGCTGGGCCCACGGCAGCACCAGCGCCTTGGCAGGTACGCTCAGGCTCCCCTGCCGGGCTGGCTCCCCGCTGGAATCGGGAGTTTAAGGGAAGCAAAGGAAGTTTAGCTTCAGGTTACTGACAGCTGGTATAAGGTGCTAAATCACTGCAGTGACTAACGCGGCAAAACCTGTAAATACAGCAGAACAGTGGGAATACCCAAGCTGAAGGCAAGGAGGGTAACCAACCCTCCTTGAATAGAAAAATAGAATAAAGCAATAGAAAAAGCAATGAGAGTGAGGCTGTCTCTGCCTTATCCAAAGGCAGAAAGGGAGGAGTGCTGATGTGTGGTTAAAATCCCGTTTGCAGAAGGAATGTGACCATAGCTCCTCCCAAACTGCTCTCTAGGTCCTGGGGTAAGAGCTGGGGTTTCTGCCCTCCCCTCGGAGGTGTGGTGATGGCAGCAGCCGATGCAAAAGAGTTGTCAGATCTCCTTCCCCTTTCTCATATCTATACAGCAGGGACTCTCCAGCCATGCTAGGAATAAGGAAATGAAAGAAGTTGTCTCTTGTGGGCTACAGGAGCCCTGTCAATCCAATGAACTGACCACCACAGCAGACACGCAAGTCTGATTTCAGCAGGAATCTTCCTATCAGCCTTTTTCTTAGTCAAGGGGAAGTAGTGGTTTGCTACAGATGAAGTAGCGGCTCTAGAGAGAATCCATGATTTGCATGCAACAGTTAGGTGCTGGTGAAGCACCACGTGCACAGGGAGGCTGTAGGAAAGTTACCTGTGAAGGAGAAATAGAGGAAGGTGGGAGAAGG